GCCTAGTACTCTGGTGCCCGCTACCCGTAGAAGGCTTCTAAAGTCCTTCCAGACAGTATCTCCTGTGGCACAGAAAGGCCAGTGACCATTTCTGCCTTCGTTTCACTTTTGTTTTTTTATTCCAAAGAAGACTCTCAAGAACTACCTTATTACCCTAGCTGGTTTGGCTCAGTTAATAGAGTGTCGGCCTGTGGACCAAAGGGTCTCGGGTTTGATTCTGGTCAAAGGCACGTACCTTGGTTGCAGGCTCCTCCCCGGCCCGGGCCAGAGATAGGGGCTCATGCAGGAGGCAACCAATCGATGGGTTTCTCTCACATCAATGTTTCTCTCTGTCTTTCCCTCTCTCTCAAAAAATCAATGGGAAAGTATCCTCAGTTGAGGATTAACCAAAAAAACACAAGCAAACAAACAAAAAAGAACTGCCTTATTAATTAAGCAGAAGGTTATTTTGAAATAATTATTTTTTCATGTAAATTCTTATAAAACTTTGAGCACAGATTTTAAATTGAATCGCTGCAATTTGTAAATCCCTGTTTTTCATGCATTTTTGTACAAAGGCCTTTGCAGTGTTGCCAGTGCAGATGCTTCTGCAAAGCTCCTCGGGGCCACTTGGGACTGTCTTCACTGCTGTGTGGCCGCCAGGGAGGGAGCTGAATTCCATCACGCCTGTGCGTCCTGGAACCTCTTTTCAGACAGGACTTCTCACCCTTTGGTGGGTCATGAGTTTAATGAGACCAGCATTGTTTTTTTAAAAGGAAGTAGAAAATACTCATCTGTATTTATGGAGTAAAAGTATTATTTTAGCGAAAGTTTTCTTTTGGGTGTTTGAGTGTGTGTGTGTGTGTGTGTAGTGACTTGCAGTGTAAAGTGTATTAATGACTAAGTTGTGGTCAGCAATTAAATCCTCTTCTTTGGGTGTTGAGCTTCTTAGTAAGACTGTTTGCTCTTCTTAAAACAGTGAACATATGTTGGTCTGCCACATTAGGGCTGCACACTGAGTGTTTGCTACAGAGAAAAAAGGAGGAGCAAACCAAAGAATGAGTCTTCCATCCCCAGGAAAGTGGAAAAAGCCAAAAACTCCAGCGTGTGATTTCTTGTTGAGGCATTTTCCTTTTGCTTTAGTTCTTTGCCGTATCTTGGTTTTCTGCTTTCTGTTATTTATATCATGGTCAGTCTAAACAGAGGAAATATTTATTTTATGGCCTCCCCATAAAAGTGAGATAACTGTCAAGTGAGAGATCACATTTACTAGGTGAGGTGGGGGTGGTGGCAGCACCAGAGGAAGCGGAAGTAGGGAGGTGGGACCAGAGAGGGACAAGGCCTGGCTGTCAACCAATAGAACAGGTTTTCGTTGTGATATAAGGAAGCATATTCCACAAGCATTGTGCTGCTTTGACTTTAGCCACACCTGGCATTTACTTTGAAACTTCAAGTAGCACTTAAAGGAAGACAAGAGATTTTGGTGTTTATCAAAAGGGAAACAGGGTGACATATGACACTGTTGTATTACTTTCTTGTCACACCTCGTGTATTTCAGGGGAATTTTCTTTAGATATTACTTAAGACTGCTTGAATACTTTATGGTTATTTGGTTCAAATAAAATGAAATAGTGATTGCCTATTTTATCAAGATGCCACACAAATGACCCAAAGGTATGGAAGTACACATTATTCCCAATAGTAATATATACTCGGAGCTTTTAATTCTTAACACCTTTTCAAAGCTAGCTGTAAATAGAAATGTGTGACAGTTTCATGCCTTTTGTAAGTTTGATTCATTAAATGCCTATTTTTTATGACACTAGGCAGACTGGAAACAGGTGAGTTAGCACAAAGACAATGACAGTCTCCCCCCCCTATGCCTGGTGAAATAGTGGTGAGAGCGAGCTTGGGCAGGCATCCCGCCTCCAGAGCTGGGGCTTCCTCGGTGTTAGGTAGTTAGGTAGGGGCGACAGTAACCACTCAGAGCTGCTGGGAGGAGGGAGGCGGGAGCACTTACTCCTGCCTGGAGGGCCACAGCATAGGAGACATGCTTTGTACAGCCCCTTCCAAGTCCTGGGTCCATGGAATTTAGAGATGCTGGTTCAACATCTCGCTGGGCCAGGCTCGGGCCACACCAGCACAGGCTTTCTGACCTGCAAGGAAGGATGAATGTTTTCAGGGTTGTGTCTTGTTTACTTTTTTAGGAAATGATCTTATTTTCATTTGTAAAGAATTTCGAAGATGCTGTACCTATGAGAAAGGGTAACATTCGAACAACAGGCACAGTAGTTGGGTCACTTCTCCGCTTTTATAAACCCTGAAAGGAGTTTCTATTGTTTGTGTACTGTGTATTCCAACATCCAAGGATGGTTTCTTTCCACCCAGCTGCAGTTTCTTAGGTCTCAGCCACTATTTCCCTTCCATTTTAATGTGGTATCTATGGTATTGACAGCTCCCAGTTACGAGGTCAGCACAGTATGAGATGATGATTGCTGGCTCACGGAGTTTATTGGGCTGGTTTAATATGTGAAGGGAAGGCCCCTTAGACTTTAGTTACTGTTGTTTACCATAAATAATACTAATGCAAATTCCTCTAAGCCAGCGGTTCTCAACCTGTGGGTCACGACCCTTTGGGGGTCGAACGACCCTTTCACAGGGGTCACCTAAGACCATCGGAAAAACACATATATAATTACATATTGTTTTTGTGATTAATCACTATGCTTTAATTATGCTCAATTTGTAACAATGAAAATACATCCTGCATATCAGATATTTACATTACGATTCATAACAGTAGCAAAATTTCAGTTATGAAGTAGCAGCGAAAATAATTTTATGGCTGGGAGTCATCACAACATGAGGAACTGTATTAAAGGGTCGCGGCATTAGGAAGGTTGAGAACCACTGCTCTAAGCCAAAGAAAGGTGATTATACTTTTATTCTGCAAGAAAAGGTTGTCTTCATCATTACTTTCTCTGTGCTCTTGCTCATGCTCCCTCCCGAGCCTGGCAAGCTTCCTTCCCCATCTCCCCACCTCCCACACCTCCTCCTCCTATCCAGTCCACCCTCTCCATGTGGCAGTAGTTCTTCATCTTCTCAGATGTTAAAAGGGTCTCCTCTGATATGGGGCTTTTTCTGAGTCTCCCCAAGTTTGGCTGGCTATCTTCTCCCCAGGGCTCTGCTGTTCCCTGCATCCGCAGTTCTGCCCCGGCACAGTTACCACGTCCCTGTCTGTTACCCACATGCTGGCGTCTCTGCTGGAACCTGAGTAAGCTTACTGAAGGCAGGAGCCTCCTCCTGTGGTCCTGCCTGGCTTTGTGCAGCTGGGCTGAGCATGGGCTTGGTCCTGTGAACAGCTTAGTGGATGTTGGGTGAATGAGTAATGCGTCCATCCCCAGTGTCAGGTCATCAGAAAGACACCTGCTGACTCCTTCCCAGCGTGCTGTTTCCTTACACATGCACACTGAAATGGAGAGGCTTCTCCGTGACCAGGGACGGGATCATGACAGTGACCACAGCTACACACGGACGGCGCTCAGCCTGTTGCAGCTCTCCTTTGTAAGGGTGAAAAACAGGCAGCACGCAGAACCCTAGCTGTGCTGGCCACAGTGGGTGACCGACTCTGACAACTGTCGTGGTCGGGAGACTGAAAAGGGTGGTCTGAGCACTGACACTGCACTTTCCTGGTTGTTCATAAGTCTAAATTGTTTTTTAAAAATATATAAATATATATATATCCACACACACATATATACATACAGGTATGTGTATATATGTATATAGATAGGGAAATATATTTTTGAGACATCTTGCAAAAAATTGATAAAATTGTCCTTTCTAACGGTGCGATATAGTTTGCAAGGGCTGCTGTACTAAAGTACCACCAACTGTCTGGCTCCAGTTTGCAGACCTGAAGGTCAAGGTCTCACAGGTTCATTTCTTCTGAAGCTTCTCTCCTTGGCCTTTGTCTTTGTGTCACCCACCCTGTGTCGGTCTCTGTGTCCATGTTTCCTCTTCTAATAAGGACACTGGTCATACTGGATTAGGGCCTACTCATGAATGCATTTTAACTGAACTACCACTTTCAAGACCCCCCATCTTTAAATGCAGTCATTGTGAGGTGCTGAGGGCAAGGACTTCAACATATGAACTTGCAGGGAGGTGATGCAGTTCTACCAGCAACAGTGTGATTGTTAACTATTTCCTACATTTGTGTAGGCAGTTCATTGACTAAGGATACATGGAACGTCATGTGTGAGGGCATGTGCAGCATATCTTGTTTGTGTGTCAGACATACGGAAGTCCCTGCTCTTACAGTTGCAGAGTTTGGGAGCCTGGGTGTGGCAACTTCTCCACGCCATCAAAAGACCACACCCTCCTTTTATGAAATATAGTCCTACATTTAATGGGTACAAGTGTATAATGTTACAAAAAATAGGAAGGATTGAAGTATACAAGAAAGGGAGAGAGATACAAACCTTAGCAGTTACTTTTCCAATTAAGAATAATGCCTTCTGAATATAGCAAGTTCAAATACACACGAAATTGTGTTAAAATTAGTAACAATTTACATATTTTAACTCAATGGATATTCCAATTCTTCCCATCCATGAAGCACTCTGATAAACAGGAAATAGCAAATTTATAAAGATTAAAGTTACAGTTAAAAAGCTTTATCTAAAAGTTGTCTACAATATCTTTAAAATTTGAGGAAGTACTTAGAAAGCCGAATCAGATCTTTCATAGCCACGGTCAAGGGCAACTTGTCTTTTGAGTAATTGACTTCTGTGGGTGGTAAACCAAAGGCTCTGGAAGAAGAAGTACAAATTTACACTTTGAAAAAGGTTTTTCGTTAAAATATGGCTCTTATACACAAGTAGGACTATCAATTTGTTACAAGTTACAAGAAATGAACTTCCCACAAAGTTCAGAAGTTCCTTGTTTACATTTTGATCTACAATTATTTAAAGAATGTTTATTTATGTGTTGTTTTCTTCTTTCCTTTTAAAATCCAGCTCATGGTTTTTGGGATCTTCCTGTGCCTGGATGCGTTTCTGTATGTGTTCACGCTGCTTCCTTTAAGAGTGTTCCTGGCACTGTTCAGGCTCTTCACTCTGCCTTGTTATGGCCTAAGGTAAGTGTAACATCACTATTTTCAGTGTTAAATTATTTTTACTATTTGTAGTTGTTAAACTAAATAATCACATGGGTAAGTTTTGCAGAATAGGGATAATTCGTATGCTTTCATTCACACTTTGGTCTTTCATGCATAAAGTAATACTGTTTATCTTTTTAATGAATATTATATAATACGTTTGTGTAATATTTGTACTTTGTATACACACATTTATTTTCTGAATGATTCTGAACCAGAACCTTGCTTTGGCAGTAAACGAATGTTAAGAATGTGGGTGGAAGAGTAGGAAGGGCCTTGGACCTGAGAGTCAATGACCTCACTGCCACTCTGCAACTTTACCCTGTACCTCAATTTTCCTGAAGATCCTTGGCTATCTGGGCAAGATCGGTAAAGTGAGGACTGGGTTCTAGGCAGGGAGCTGGGGGCCAGGTGGTATCAGCATCTCCTGAGGAGCTGTTACCGTAGGGGTTCCTCCTCCATCCCTTTTGAGAGTAACTGTCTTGTGGCCTAGGGATCCTTAGCGACCAATTATAGGTGAGACTCCCTCTGATTTGTGAGAGGGGATAGCTGTTGAAGACCATTGTCTGAGTGGGAAGCATCAGACAGCCCTACCCAGCATTGATTAGCTGCTGAGTTGTGGGCAACTACTTGACTTCTCTAAGCCCATTTCCCCATCAGTTAAAAAGGGGATATTGAGAGTCCAGCATCTTTCACCACAGAGAGTGGGAAGCGTGCAAAGAATACCCAGAATAGTGCCTGGTTCACAGTAGACTGGAGCAGATACTAGTTTCCTTCCCTTTCTTCTCTACCAAAACTAGGAACAGTAAGATGAAATGTGAAGCTTATGCGAATCCTGGTGCTTTATTGGACCTGAGCTTAGAAGATGCTTGGGTTTCACAGTTTTCTGTCTTTGTATAGTTATGGCAACATGTCTCTACTCTGTGTACTCAGTCCCTGTAACAGTATGATATAGTTCTTAGCATAGCTGCCTGTGGTACATTTCTCACATGCATCTCTTTTCTAAATACATTTCATTTCGAGAAAGTTTTAAAGTGCTGAAGTGGACAATAACATGTAAAATTTCATTTAACTATAAAGTAGGTGTCTATTCCGTGATATATAAAATGCATAATTAATAAAATTATTATCAGTAACCTAACCATAGAAACAAAGTTACAAAATATTGGTCAATATACAGAATTATATGTTGATGTTTTGCGAAGACTAAAGTTATGGAAGATGCTCTTTTAAAGTAGTAAAAGAACATATACTTAATATTTAGTAAGCACTGAATAACACATATACGAAATCCTTCCAGTATATATTGAAGAATTTATTATGATGACCATATTGTGAAAAGAGTACAATTGTTTTTGCAAAATTGCACAGAATAAAACAATTGTAAGAATTAAGATCACATCATTGTTATATGTGATACTTTCCATTCTGTAATCTTACTCCCCCTTTTCAGAATGAGATAATTGTTCCATATTTTGTTAATTACATGTTAATCAGATGGGATAATATTTTTAGGAATTTACCATCAACTTTAAGGCATTCAAGTGCATCCTTTATACGTTTGGAAGAATTTTTAAGAGGCCCTATTGGCAAACCTTTTTTAAGACATTTGTAGCATGATACTTTAATATTAACAAAGCCTAACTTCCTATTCCATTTTTTTTTTTTTTTTATCACTATCGGGTGCTCGGTAAAATCATGGTTATTTCAGTTACTTTTTCAGAAGACACAAAAAAATCTAATAAGACATTACTAAATATAAATCGTCATTTGTGATGACCTAAAAGGATGGACCCGTGGACATGCAGATAAAGCCAGGTGAAGCTACCTGACATAAAATAGCTAATGTCATGTAGGGATTTTCACATCTACATGTTGAGCTAGATTATTTTTTGGTTATTCTTTGATCAACAATGTGAGTCAAATTTGTGTTCTAGCCATTTTTAAGTGACTGGCTTTTCAAGACATATGTTGAATGTGGCGTTGGCGTGATGAGGTAAAACATTGAGAGGATATATAACCTAAAGAATCTCTTCTGGAGTGGGTTCTTCCTTGGGTCTGTTAGCACACAGTGGAGTTGACTGAGTGGGGATTTTCCCGAGGATTTCCTTTTCAGGGCTCTTGTTTGAAGACTCCTTTTGTTGTACTGCCATCTAAACTGTGTCATTGCTATGTCACTTGGGGAGGCAGGACACCAAGGTCGCATTTGAGAAGTCTTTCATTGTTTGTCCTGAAAACTAAAAGAAGTTTAGGAGGGAGCTAGGAAATCTCCAGTCCTCTACTTCCATTTGCTTTGTTGTGAGTGGCCAGTAGTCCTTAGAGCCAATCTTTTCTATATATTTTAAAATATTTTAAGATAGTTTTAGTTTTTAAAATAAAGATGCTTGGTTTGTATATTACTTCTCAACCTAAATGAATTTCAGTAACATTTAAAAATAAAATTCAAGTGTTCTAATTTCAAGGTTTTATAGGTAAAATGACACTAGAGGGCAAACTGTTACATCCTACATTTAAGACTCCAATAAGTTTCCCTCTGCCAAATGGTTCTTGCTATTTCTACAATTTGGATCACCTGAAAAATTACATTTTATGCCATCACTAATAAATATATGCTATATGTGAAATGTGAAATGCAGTTAAAATTATACAATAGAACTTCAGCTATTTTAAATAGTCTGTGCTATTATTAATATTAAGTCTAATAATTTTCAAATATTTTAGGAATATAAAAATACATTTTACTTTTAAAAAGTGTTGTTATTAAGAAATAGCCAAATTCTGCGTTCTTATAGCTTTTCTTCTAACATTCTCTATTCCCATTACCAGCTTATTTCATTTGCCTTGCCTATAGCTGTATCAGGTTTCCTTTTTGAGCCAGCAAAATATGCTCTTTCCTTCAGTCTGACTTTGTTTTTTCAAAGGGATAAGAAGAACTTAAAGAGAACAGCAAGGAAGTTGACTACATTCTTTTATCTGTTTTCTTTTTCTCACTCTCTTCTATTTCAGTCTTCTTTTTGTAAAGAGAGAGAGAGAGAATGAAATAAAGAAAAGAAAAAGCTATTCTCTTCCTAGTCTTAGTTCTTTGAAATTATTCCCCCAAAGGGGGGGAAAGGGATATTTGTCAAAGGAATCCAAATGCTGACACGAAAACAGTGACTCTTTATAGTCTAGTACTGTTCCTGTTCTCGCATATGTATTAGGATAAACGTTATTGCCACCTTTTCTTATCTAAGATTACTGTTCTCACCTCCTGCCCTTGCAGAGTTCTATCTGAGACAGCATTTATGAGAGGCTTTTGAAAACTGGCAGCCTCCCGAATTTTCTGCTGTAGAATTCATTCTTTGAACCTATTTCTAAATCTTCTGTGACCTTGCTATGGTTTTGGGGTTTGGGTTTGGGTTTGGGTTTTTGCTCATGTGTCAGCTAAGTGAGTAGACAAGGGTTCTATCTTTCTCTGTGACCAAGGGCCAGGATCTCTGAGGGCCAGGGTGGTTCCGCAGCCCCTCATGGAAACCCAGCCTTCATCATGGTGCTCCATTGGTGGGCACTTCGCCATCTTCTGACTGTTCAGATGTTGTTCACTTTATGACATTGACAGAGTAATGAGCTTGGCTTGGTAGTGGTGTGTGTTGTCTGCAATGGATTCACTGCTTTCAAAAAAGTTTGTGTCTCTCCTTAGTAATCTCAAGAATACTGCATTAAAAACTGATCCTAATGAATGAACAATCTTGAAAAATCTTTGCCCCCAAATATTTTATTATTGTAGACTAAAATAAATAAACACCCATATTCTTTCAAAGCAGATTCAGTTATGTATTCTTCCCTCTCTCCCAGATGGGGTAGTATCATTTTAGAAAAACATTCCAGATACTACTTGAATTAGGATAATTTGTTAAATGATGAGGACATGGAAAACAAAATTAAGTTTTGATTCCTTATATAAGGTATCCGTTTGCCTTGGATAAAGTATTAAAATATTTGTGTTAAAAATAAAATACTCGTGTTAAAGTATTCTGTTATGCTAAGTCAGGTATCAAACCTAATTTTTACTAATTTACTTATAGGATATAGAATAACCAGTTGTATCAGTGTTTTTGATCTCCCTGGCATTTTTGTGACCCCTCTTTCCTCCTAAATCTTGTGACTTCATTTTGCGTGTTAGAATTCTTAGTCACATTTGAGTTGAAAATTGAGGGCCATTATAGAGAAAATGATACTATCTGGTGCCAAGATCTGCTTGTTATTTTTTAAAACATTTTAGACAGTAATAACTGTAAAGTAGGTTTATGTGCTAGGCTATTTTTTCTTTTACTCTAGAGCAACTGAAATACGTAAGCAAATTTTCTGGTCATTTCACCCTGGCTTTTAGGCATAACTCTTATTTGAGGCTCCTTGGGTTTTTGTTTTGTTTTAAGAGATGATAAAGTCCTTTTTTTCTTGAGCTTTTGCCTCTTAGAAAAGCTCTTATCTCCCAGAAGAATTATGAATTTAAAATGCTTGAGGGTTTCTTAACATTGAGTTTCCTCTATATGCCTACTTCCTTCAAGATAGTGCTACCTGAAATTGACTTCATGTACACACACACACACACACACACTCACGATTTTTCTCTATTTAGACCTATGCCTTAATTTTGCCCCACTGCTTCATGCCACCCTGGAGCACATGTAGGGAGAGCTCTTGGTACCCGTGTCTGGGGAAACAAGTTTGTTATTTCCTCTACCAGGGCTGATCTGCGTGGCTGATTTGTAGAGAGCAGTGTATTTGTTTTATTAGAGAGTCTTCGTAGTGCCAGGTGTTGTTGTCCCTTGTTCCCTCACATGGCGCTCTCAGTAGCGTAGCAACATTACAACCTTCTCTCTCTCTTTCTCTCTCGTGAATCAGACCCAAGGGAGGAGCACTTTCACTTCCTTTATAGAGTGGAATGTGGTGTCACAGGGACTCCTTGTGGTGAGTAAACCCTGATTTTTCCTTCTATTCTCTTGGCCAAATTGACATCAGTGCAAACAAATATTAATTATAATGAAAAAAACAAACCCCAGCGTAGGCAGACATACCCATTTGGGAATGGACACATACGAAGAAAATGTGGTTCCCCGGCTGTACTTTCTGGTCAGGCTTTGTCCACATTTACACAGGATTTGACCATGATCCCACCTAACACAGGAAAATCACCCGGTAAAATGATCTTGGATGACACATTCAGGCCAGACTTCACAGCAGCAAACGCAACCTGCCCAAGCCCAAGCCCACAGCAGTCTCTGAGCCCTGTTCCTTCCATGTAAGCAGTTCATTTTCAGTTTTCTAATCAAGGAAAATGTCTTAATCTCAGTACTTTATTCCAATTTAACTTTAAAATTATAAAGGGACTTACCTTTCATAAATGAGAACCATATTTAATATTTTGCATTTCAATAGTCCTTATAGTTCTTTTTCCTTTCTGTTATACCACATATAGCTTAAAACGTTTAAGCAGATAGAGAAAGAGAGAAAGAAAGAAAGACCCAGCCTACGTATTTTATAATGAAATATCCCATGGTGATACCTTGGCATGTTTCAACACCGATTTGAAAATGAACAAGGCAGGGTTACCCATTTCTCTTGCTCATTTGTGTTGCCTCCTCTCCTGATCTTTCTGTCTGAGACCAGTTTTTGCTGGTGAGCAGATTGTCTTCTGCTAAGCTTCTGCTAAGCAGGGAGGAAGAAAGTCTGCCCTTGATCATCCTGTCTGCAGTGTCACTGGCTCCCGTAAACCTGTGAGCCCTGGGAGACAGCAGGAGGGCTCTGTTGGTAATGCTGCAAGTCTAATGGGAGTATTTGAATGAGTAAAAGATAAAATTTAGGCATGTAGGAAATCTGGTTTCTGGAAGAGCAGTTTAACTTGAAAATTTAAAACGAATTTAAGTCCTGTTGAATGTCTTGTTTAATATTCCCGGTGTTCACAGCCAGCCTGTAAATTAGATTAGTGGGTTTTTCACTCTGCTCAACAGCTTTTTCACTTGTTTCTGTGTTCGTGTGGGGTTGTCAGCATTTGCAAAGTGAACTGCCAGTGACTGTAGTTTAACAGGCATTATAAAGAAGGACTTTGCCCTGAAACTGTTATTTAAAGCCAGTTCAGAGCAGATTGCAGGGCTGTGGATAAGCTTATTACAGAGTTGGACATGCTTATCAGAGTGTTATCTAAAAATACCCTGGCAGAGAAGAAAGCCCATACTGGGGCGGTTCCGGTCCTTAACGAACCAGGTAAACTGTTCTGGAGTTAGGTGTTTTCCTGTATGTCTTTTAAGAATTCACCATGCAAACAGGTGTTTTTGCAGTTTTTCTTTTTCATTAACAGGTATATTTGTATGGAAACAAAACCCTTTTTCTTAAGAGTTCTGCTTGTATTTTTTATTTGAATAATACTCCTTATTTTGAAAATCAGATTCATCTCTGTAGCAACCAGTTATGATAGAAGACTTTTACCAGAGCAGCGGGCGCTCAGAAAATAGTGGGTCCAATAGTCTGTATCCTATTTGTTCTCTTTTTGGAAGTAAAGAGCAAAAATGATAGATGTATTTGCTTTTTAGTACAATAGTTTTTCTAAATGTGATGACAGCACAGTGATAAATTACACAGCATTAAATTATGCTGAAAGATAAAAGCTACTGAGTTGTTGATTCTTGTAAGTTTAAATTTTCTTTTAAAGAAAACTCTAAAAAGGTAGATGGTGGTAAGGAGCAATCCTGGAGCCGGGCTGAGGTTCAGATCCCACTCCTCCGCCCCTCCCCCTCCAGCCGACCTGCTGCAGGCACCTCCTGACCACTCTGCCTCTTCTTTTTATTTTTTATTTTTATTGATTTTTTACAGAGAGGAAGGGAGAGGGATCGAGAGTTAGAAACATCGATGAGAGAGAAACATCGATTAGCTGCCTCCTGAACACCTCCCACTGGAGATGTGCCTGCAACCAAGGTACATGCCCTTGACCGGAATTGAACCTGGGACCCTTCAGTCCGCAGGCCGACGCTCTGTCCACTGAGCCAAACCGGTCAGGGCTACTCTGCCTCCTCTTAAAGTCTTAAAACCGGGGTGATGGTGTGCCCTCGTAGGGTTCCTGTGAACACTAAGTGCAGAGAGCCTGGCGTGGTGCCTGCCACGTAGTGACTGGATTGCAGCCTGGGTGTTTGCACAGCTTTTCTGTTGTTTTAACAGCCAGGTTTACTCCTAGGCAAGTAAAGCTCCTTAAAACTGTTTATGCTAAATTTCTAAGTTTAAATTTATTATCATTTTTATTTGGTCACTCTAATTTCTAACAATGACTTATGTTAAATATAATAGTTCTTCATAGATACACTAACACATCAGTCTTGGCTGCAAATGTTTATAAAGAAATACAATTAGGCATAGACAGTAAATAGTCCTTTATCTCTAAAGTAAAATAGCTTTGACCGGGATCACTTAACTTACTAGTAGTAGTTGCCAATCTAGTGCCAAAAGCTCTAAGTATACCTTTGTACTTTAATTAGATATTAAAATCATTTTGGTAATTAATGCAGATTCATTAATACCACCCTACTTTTTGTTCCTATCATTTTCTTTAATTCATACAACATCAATACAAAGGCCCACGATTATGAGGGATTTGTGATTGTCACCGTATGCCCAGCTGTGCCACACTTCTGAGGAGGAGGTGGGTGGTGCACTCCTCGCTGAGGCCTCATTTGTCCCCTGGGTGTACCCAAGGAGACCCTCACACAGGCCAGGAACCCAAGAGTGTTCAGTGTCTCTTCTCATTGCTTGAATTAAAAGTATGTTCATTGCCTGGCTGGTGTGGGTCAGTGGTTGCGCATCCACCCATGCACCAAATGGTCACCAATTCGATTCCCAGTCAGGGCACATGCCCAGGTTGTGGGTTCAGTCCCCAGTAGGAAGCAGCTGATCCATGTTGATTCTCTCCCATTGATGTTTCAATCGCTCTCACTCTCCCTTCCTCTCTCTCTAAAAAAAAAAAAAAAAAAAAAAAAAAAAATCAACAAAAAAAACATTAAAAGAAAAAAGTATGTTTAGCTCCAACTCTGGGCAAATGTAACCCCTCTTCCATTTTTAATCTTGTAGGGTGAAGGCACAGAATTAATTACCTTTATAGCCGAATAGCCCAGGCGGAGGTCTGTATTCTGGGCTAGATGTTGGAGGTAGGAGATGCAGCTCAGTCTGGGTTCCGTGGGGAGGAAAGGGCCAGAGCCTGCCTGGAAGAGAGAGGAGCAGCGCAGAGGAAAGGGACAGGGAATTGACAACAGACTGCTCAACTTCATCCTGATGCAGTTTTACCCAACACTTCAGCTGCTAAGAATAATTTCGCTGATTGTCCTCCCCATCTCAGGACTTGTCTGCCTTAGACGAATTCTGACCCCATGTCCCATTAGGTTCAGCCCAGTGTTTCCCATCTCCCTTTAGCCCTTCCTGGACATAGTCCTCACAGAACTTGCCTCTTCTCAGGATGTTTGCATCCTCGTTATCTCGTGTAACAGTGTCCCACGTAACCCAGGAAGACTCGCAGATTCCTTGTTCAGCTCTACAAGGATCTTTGGAGGAAAGGAGCCCCCAACCTAAATGTGGACGGGGGTTAGGAAAGCGCTGCAGAGAATAGGAAGGAAGGGAGGCCGAGTATTGTCAGTATTCAGCTCAGAACACTGAGGGCCAGCCTTGGGGTTAGAGCGTCATCACGTTGGGCGGGAATGAGGCAGTCCTGCAGCTCCAAGAGAGATGATCCTCAGGGCTTTACAGTGATGGCGCTGGGCATGAACGCTGCCCTCGCAGGAGACTGCGCTGGCCTTCTGAGGAATCAGCCTGCAGTGGGCGTGGAGGAAGCTGCTGACCCATCTGAGCCCAGGATCTCATATTCAGTGAAAGAAATTTTAAACCTTTTTGTAGCATATTATTTTTCTGTGTGGAAGTAAGCTGTTTCTACTCACAATTTAGGTTTAGCCCTTCATACTCTGACCTCAGAAGTGAGGAATGATTTCATATTAATTAGGGAAAAACTGTTTTCAACTCATGTCACAGAGGGCTAACTTCTATAAATAAAAGCTATTCTGCAAACCAGCAAGAGAAAGGTATGAGGAAAGAATTCACTGAAAATACAAGTAGCTTCAGTACATTAAGATGTCAGTGTCCCAGCGAGAGAAATTAGCCTTGACACTGCACTGAATACCAGTTTTTACCAGTGGGAATGGCAGAGATCCGGAAGCTGAGGAGACACCGTGTTGTGCACGTGGGCCACTGGCTTTCTTGTCTGCTTCTAGTTGAGGTTGAATTGGTGCAGCCTCTGTCAAGTGAACATAACCTCGAAATTCCAATTTTAGGAATTTAACCTAGAGATATTCCTTCATATACGAAGCATGACATGTGCATTCTGTCACGGTTTGCAGTTGCTGAAGACGGGAAATCGTCAGTGATTTGCTAAATAATGCCTGGTGCATCCACACAGTGGAACATTACACTGTTGTAGAAAGAGGAGTTCCTTATGAACCGATAGGGAAATCGGTTAGGCGGTGAGATGAAAAGTGCCAGGTACCAGTGTGCATGGAATGCGAACGTGTGTGAAAGGGGCTGGTCAGCAGTGACAGGGCTTCATCGTGAGGCGAAAGGCTTGTGTCATAATCTTGGAAGTCCGTCGCTTTAAAGCAGTCTATCCACAGACGCCCGCCCGCTGTGCTCACCTGTTAAGGTTGCCCACTTCTCAGAGTAATTCTGGTTGGCTATCTTTGTATTCTGTACTTGGCAGAAAATCCCACACTCTCAAGTGGTCAGTTATATACATAGCACTCCTTGTTAGGAGATGAACCTAATTCTCATTACCAGTGTCTGCCAGTGTGCGTCCAGTAGAGATTCTGCATTTTGAGAACCTAGGAAGTAAAACTCGGGCTTTTATTACTTCTTCTGTTTCAGGGACAGGCGTTTGCTGCAGCCAGCCCAGGTGTGTGACATTTTGAAGGGTGTCATTCTGGTCATCTGCTACTTTATGATGCACTATGTCGACTACTCCATGATGTACCACCTGATCAGGGGGCAGTCGGTCATCAAGCTCTACATCATCTACAACATGCTCGAGGTGAGGAGGGGCCTCGGTTCCCCGCCGGCCGGCCGGCCCCTGCCCGGGCTTCCGGACAGACCACTTTCCTGCCTGCTCTAGGGAGGGTGCTTCGGGCCCTCAGGGCTTGGCCAGTCACCTGGGGGCCTTGTTAAAATGCAGAGTCTGACTTGTAGATCTGGGTTGAGGCTGGGGAGTCTGTCTTTCTGACGAGATGGTACTGTGTTGCTGGTCCTGGGACTCACATGACCTGTGTGCAGGAAGGAAGAGCTACCTGCTGCCTGGGTATGTTTGGGTCAATGCCCCTTGAGAAAGTGAATTGTCATACTACAGGGAAATTTGTTTTGCAAATTCATTGAAAACCCATGTCTTCTTTATGCTAGAACATTAAAAATTATGAAGAAAATGTTAGGATTATATATATGTTTGCTATAATAGATTTACATGTGTGATTGCTTTGAACTTTTCACATCAAGCAAGTAAACATATGTTTCCAAAATCTTAAGTACTTAACATTTTTATACAATCTATCTTATGTTAAACTTAGAGCAGTCAGCATGTGAAAATCTTCATTTATACAAAAATAAACAGTTACACAAAGCAAAAAAGTGCTCTATTTATAGGCAGAATCTTAATAAGTTTTTAAACAGTAAGCTACTCTATGTTGTATAATACATTTTTGAGATTCAAATTGCATTTTTCTATGCTGTTTTTTAGGAACATAAGTGAGTTCTGCTATCTTAAATGAGGCAGAAAAGGGTTTTTCCTAATGGGTGGGCAGATGGGGGATGTGGGGCTGTCGGCCTTTCTCTCTCAGACTGCATTGCTGTGGTGCCTGAGGACTTCCCAGTTCGTCACAGACGGTGTGGCACTCGGTCCATCCTGGCTAAATAAATTCATTGACTATGATGGTTTCAAGCCACCCCCAGCTTCCCGACTCCAGGCTTCATGCCCTACACTTGCTTTGCCTGGTGGATAGGATGCAGATGGTGGGTGTGGATCAAGTTTGTAAGGCAGAGCACCATCCTGCTCCCCCTTCTCCTCTCAGAAAGAAACCCTGTTTGAGTGGCTCTTCATGCCATAGCCCCACTGGTCTCCGTTACTGCCTTCCCTCCAGGGACTGCAGGGGACCAGGGCTTCTGCCTCGCCCCAACTTGATGTGTGCCTCCTGATTCACAAAGCCCTGTACGAGGTGGTATTGCTGTTACTATAAAATGGGTCAAGAAAAAGGACCCATGAATTGCTGATCAGAATGGTTTTACTACTGTTCACTCATGGACTGCAGTTGATGGTGTGGTTCACGCCCAATGGACAAGAAGAGTCGGGCTCCCGTGCAGATAGAAGCTGCTGCGACCCCGCTTACCCTGCCCACGCTGCTGGTGGCTGAATGTCTCCAGTCCTCAGTTTCTCGTCTGTAAATTGGAGATCAGGGGACTTGTGAGGGCTAAGACAGTACACGGGAAGGGCTTAGCACAGTGCCACTCATGTGGTGAGAGCTCCCTAAATGGTCGCTATCATTCCTTCATTCAGCAGATATTTCATTGACATTTTCTGTATGCCAAGCACTGCCTTAGACCCTGAAGATCCAGTGGTGAACAAAGCCCAGTCTCATGGAGCTTATATTCTACAGGTGGGAGACAGACAGTAAACCAGGAGGTATTAGGAAATGCTACATGCCACAAGGAAAAAGACTAGGGTGATGCGTTACCAGCTGTGGGAGCCACAGGAGGCAGATGTCTGGGAAAGGCCTCTCTCAGAATGTGACCTTTCAGTTGAATCCTCAATGATATATCTTCTTTTTTTTATGTGTTTCATTTTATTTATCATACTATATTTTGGAGACCAGTACCTGAAAATGTCTTTAAGAAGTAAATCTGCATATTATCCTATATAATAAAAGCCCAGCGACCATAATGACGTAACGACCAGACGACTGCTTGTCCAGTCGCTATGAGGTGTATTGACCATCTCTAGGTCTCTCCCCAAAGGCCTGCAGGCTCCGATCACAGGATGGCGAATGGGGAACCACAGGGAACCAGGGTGGGTGGCTGTGGGGTGGGACTGGTGAGTGGGCAGAAGATGGCCCTGATCACAGGCTAGGCCTAGGGACCCTACCCGCACATAATTTTGTGCGCTGGGCCTCTAGTATTCTATATAATAAACCTCAAACAAATTACATCTCCTGTTGTTGGCAAATACTAGGTATGAATAGAATGGATCAAATGATATGTTTGTCCTAAAGGATTTAAGTTTGAATCCTGAATTTGAATTTAGAGAGTTAAAGCCAGAGGAACTATGGTTTTGCTGTGTCCTCTCCCTTTGATTTTTGCCAGCATGTAGTAAGACTTTGTTCTGTTACAAACGTGGCTGATTAGACAGAATTTCATTCGTATAACACGAGGATCGGAGCACTGCTGTGTCAGGGAATAAAGATGTGGTCGTGGATACTAATAAGTGCACAGATCCTGCTCTTTCGGACCTGGCCTTCAGGTGGGACTAAGTGTTTATTTTTGTATAAACGCAGAGCCCTAGTATTTGAGTTGCTTCTGAATTGTAGTAACATGTTTGAATGGAATAATAAGAAACATCTTTTCAATCATTTTTCTCTTTAGGTAGCAGATCGTCTGTTTTCATCATTCGGTCAAGATATATTAGATGCTCTCTATTGGACGGCAACAGAGCCCAAAGAAAGAAAAAGAGCTCACATTGGGGTGATTCCTCACTTTCTCATGGCTGTTCTCTACGTCTGTATCCTTTTGACGTATCAGACATTCTAGCAGTCAATGCGTATTCTGCATTGTTTTATTTGGTTAGCTGTTTCTCTGATTTAAAGGTATGTGTATGTGTGTCCTGAGCATTGTGTGAAATGTCTGCTTTCTTTAGAGAAATTAGTTATAAGACTCAATTATATGTTAACTTAACGAGCCTCAGTGCATGCTGCTGTGAACTGCTAACAGTTCTGTTCTCCGTGCAACTGGTTCTGTGGAAGGATTTTTGACTGAAGGGTATTATACATACTTTACGTTTATATACATCTGTGTAGCTTTCTATACGTATATGGAATTTTTTAAGGTTATCTTTTTTTAAGCCTGTGGATTCTTTGTTATAACCTGGGCTTAAAATGTATACAGTTCATCTAGGAGTAAAATTTGAAATTGGTTTGGAGGAATTTTGGAGGTTTTATCCTCCCCTCTCACCGCCCTTTTAAAGCTTTTTTTTTTCTTTTCTTTTTTTAATGATTAAAGGCTTCATTACATATAAACAGTGTGTGTGCCCATTCATATATATTTACACACACGTGCATGCCTGCATGTTCCGGGTGGGGTCAGATTCATTCACAGGAATGTGCCACATGGTTTTCCATACTCTCTCTCAAACTGATACTTGAAAAAATCAGATTAATACTTGGAAAGTTAAAGGACTTAAGTGGGAAGATTTCTGTAGAGTAAAAGCTTGTTCCAAGTATACTGGAATAAAAGTTACTGTTCTAATTTAAATAAACCATTCCACGTGTAATATGAATATAATTCTACAACTTGTGATGTCTTCAAAAAAGACAATGAAGACGAACCTTAATTATCAGACAATTCTTATTGTCTATGTTCCTCATCCCCAGAAGAGCAGTCTGTTTTAGAATGTAAGTGATCTTAATTCAGAATGTGTATTGCTAAGTGTCTTCTTTTAGTATTTACCATATTCTATTTATTTAAGAAACTTTTTAAAGGGCCTGTTTCCCAAGCATTGAGCCAAATGCCAGAGAACCAGAAAGAACAGGACTCACAGTCCACTTGAATGGTGCACCGCGGGTCATTTCTGCTGTTGCTTGGTTCATATGGTGGTGTATGTCGTAATCCAGTCAAATTTGGATCGCCCAATAAAAAATTACAAAGAATAAAGTACTTATGTAAAACTTGACTGGAAAACATAGTCATCTTTCCCCACATTATTCACTTTGAAAATTGTGTAGTATTATCTGTTACTATAATATGAAAACAGACTTAAGTTACTTTCCTTGACATCACTTACTGCTAGTTTTGCATGCAATTCTTATAATGGTTCAAGCAACAACTCTCAACGTAGCGTTTAACTCACACAACAAGTCCTTGCTCACTATCATGATGTCTAATAATGTGAGTATGAGGTTTACTTTACATTTCTGAAGTTAAATGGGTACTTTAACAGCAGTTTCTAGATGGGATGAATTATTTTTTCTAAACATTATTTATTCAGGAAGTTTTATATATACTATATCCATGTTTAAAACAGTTGTAATGATAAGGATAATATTTTCTTTTACTATTTCAGTTTGTTGAAATTAAAGGAAGTGTTTTCAAGAAGTTTGAGAAGAACAATCTTTTTCAAATGTCAAATAGCGGTATGTACAGTTGGACTCAACTTGCAGCTTATGCATATTATTTTGCAGTCTATTCTAAAACTCTGATGTCACATTTCCTGTGGGTTATTGTTTCTTTGACTTAAGCTGTGCTTTCTCTTACTCTCTCAACATCTTTACCAAGTTTGCTTATTATTTTGGTTATTGCAATCTCAGGATCTTTAAGATAATAACAAATTACAAACATTTGTATCGAACCTTATCAGTACTTTTAAAAACTTCTCATGAACCCAGAAATTTACTTGCAGCAGATGATATTATTCCATGTTATACATGTGAAAACTAGAACACAGGGAAAGTAATTTGACTTGGCCAAGTACGCTAAGCTACCAAGAACAGAATTATGACAACCCAGGCCCCTCACAAATAAGGGCTAAGAGCTGTGCTACCCTGGAGAAGGTATTGTCCCTGACTGGACAGAGTTTAGGCATTTAGGGAATGCACATGTGGGAAATGCCACTTCACTTGGAGACCAAGGTTTAGTTGTAGAATGAAAGTCTAGATCACTTGCTGTAGAGTAGCAGGGAAAGGTGGAAATAAGAAAAGAGAAGCCACCCTAACCGGTTTGGTTCAGTGGATAGAGCGTCGGCCTGTGGACTCAAGGGTCCCAGGTTCGATTCCGGCCAAGGGCATATACCTTGGTTGCAGGCACATCCTCAGTAGGGAGTGTGCAGGAGGCAGCTGATCGATGTTTCTCTCTCATCGATGTTTCTAACTCTCTATCCCTCGCCCTTCCTTTCTGTAAAAAAATCAATAAAATATATTTTAAAAAAGAAAAGAAAAGAGAAGCCAAGACAGTTGGAAGAAGGACACCAAGGTGAAATTAAAATGCAGAGGGCTATAGGGGGTCCCACATTTGAGTGGCAAGGTGGCCCAGAATTATTACGATACTAGAATATTAGGGAAACGACAGTTGTATATATACAGGCCTTGATGTGGGTTACTAGGTAAGTGATTGCACTGGCCACAGCCCCACCCACACGGGTGTGCCAACTTACTGCAGACATGGATTTCTTTCATTTCTTGATTACATAATATCTTAGACTGTAATAAGAAAATAGTTTACACAGTGAAGTGTAAACTAGCTCTTAGCAGGAATTTAGTTATTTGCTTTTATTAAATCCATTCAGACCAATGCCGGGGTCCAACCCCAGCAGGTCCAGGGGTCCCCAAAGGCGTAGACGGAGTCGGCGAAGAAGGAAGGACACGGAGACAGTGTTCAGTTGATCAGCAGCCTAGCCAGGATCTCTAGCGAAGTTCTGGTCAGGATCTCCAGCAAAGTTCTGGTTAGGATCTCCAGCCAGGTTCTGTGTCCATGTTCTCTTGCTAGGTTCCCCAGCCAGGTTCTGTAGTCATGTTCCCTCGCTAGGTTCTCCAGCCAGGTTCAGTCACCAGGTTCTAGTCAGGTTCTCTTGCCAATTTCTGTAGTCAGGTTCAGTCCAGGATCTTTTCCCATGTTCTCTCCAGCGAAGTTCTTCTGTCTGTGTAGGTTCTGTGTAGGTTCTGTCTTCTAAGTTCTGTCTTCTAAGTTCTGTGTGTAGGTTCTGTCTTCTAAGTTCTGTGTTGTTACATCTGTATTTATACCAGTTGATTCCAATCCTATCAATCTCTATTCCAAAGGTTAGGGCGTTTCTTATCTCCATTCCAGGGAGTAAAGATTATGTAGCTTAAGCATGATTGTTCGTAGTTAAAGTGATTAATTACCCGCCTGGCACTTAGTTAAGAGGTTTTATTCCCTCCCTAACTTCAGGGGAAAATCCCTACCTGGGGAAACAACCTTTCTCAGAAACCTTGGTTAAAACACATAGTGCCAAGAAGGTGAGCAAACATATTAAGAACAGTATGCCATATATGCCAGGTCCCTTGAAACAGCAAGCATGGACTGGCTCCCGGCAGACCAAGATGATAGTGTTTAGTAACATGATAAATACGAAACCTTGTTGTTCCCCCTCCCCATAAGTTCTACGTATATCTTAAGAAATGCTTTCATAATTGTAACACTCTATTAGCTAAAGGATTTGTCAGGTCAGTGCTGTATACTGACTATTTAGCAAATTGGAAGTATTCTGCTATAGAAGGGTTTCACATTACCCAGTCCTGTACTTCACTCTCTGCTTCTATTTTTTAATTCTTCTATGAAATGAAAACAGTTGTAAGTCCCCATAGTCCATTGGGGGAATCTGACTCAATCTGAGCAGACTAATGGTTTGAGTATTTTTTGAAATTTGTAGAAAACTGGAATTTGCTTGCTAGAATTGTGTTGGTGAAAGAAATAAATGGCTTACCAATGTAGTGACATTCTGTATACAAAATAGTATGTTTATTGTACAGATACTTACACATAACATAATTTCATGTTCTCACTAAAAGATAACTTTATACATACACTTTTATTATATGGTTTATATGCAATATATATTTATATGTGAAATTTTTTTTCAGATATTAAAGAGCGATTCACAAATTATGTGCTTTTGCTAATAGTGTGTCTACGGAACATGGAACAGTTTTCTTGGAATCCAGGTAAGTAACTTTTCACAAATACCGTGGCGTCCAATATTACTCTTTTACATGGACTGAAATGTGTATGCAGTACACTTTACAGCATCGAGGCTGCTCACTCTGGGTGTGAGCAGTCCCTGTCTCAGTAGAGGATTTGTGGCTGGGAGACGTAGCATGTGCAATAATCCTTGACCATAAACGGCACAGCGTCTCCAGGGCTGTGTTCTTGGTGGGTGGTGGACCCTGCAGCTTCCAGATGAGCCATCTACACTAATCTACACTAATAAAAGAGAAAAATGGTAATTGGCGTACGGTGCTACCCTTTTCATTGGCTAATCAGGGCTATATGAAAATTAACTGCCAACTAAGATTGGCAGTTAACTGCCAACAAGATGGCGGCTAATTTGCATATGTAGTCACAATGCAGGGAGACGAAAGGGAAAGCAGGAAGAAGCCCCCTGCCACTGACAGTGATCTGAAACCCAGGGGGGAGCTAAGAGCTGGGGGGCAGGGCAAAGGCGGCCCCAGGGCCGCCTTTGCCCTGCCCCCCAGCAATGATCGGAGAATCAGGTGCCTTTTCCACCCTGGCCAGTGATAGCAGGAAGTAGGGGTGGAGCCAGCGATGGGAGCTGGGCACGGTCGAAGCTGGCAGTCCCAGGAACTAGGGGTCCCTTGCCTGGGCCTAAGGCGAAGCCCACGATCGCGGGGCCGCTGCAGCTGCGGGTCCCCGCTGCCCGGGCCGGACACCTCAGCCAGAGGTGTTAGGCCTGGGCAGGGGCGGAGCCTGCAACCGTGGGGAGCTGGGGGTCCCCTGCCCAGGCCTGACACCTCTGCCGGAGGCCTCAGGCCTGGTCAAGGGGCCGATCCGGTGATTGGTGATCGGAGGGTGATGAGGGTCAACTCATCAGGCCTGGGTGGGGGGGCGGAGCCAGGGATTGGGGGGATATGATGGTCCCCTTGCCCAGGCCTGAAGCCTGGGTCAGAGGCATCAGGCTTGGGCGGGGGGTGGAGCAAGCGATCAGAGGGTGATGGGGGTCCCCTGCCCAGGCATGATTCCTGGGCCAGAGGCCTCAGGCCTGGGCGGGGGCCAGAGCCAGTGATCGGGGGGAGATGGGGGTCCCCTGTCCAAGCCTGACACCTCTGGCGGAGGCATCAGGCCTGGGCAAGGGGCTGATCCTGCGATTGGAGGGTGATGGGGTTCAATGCCTGAGGGCTCCCAGTATGTGAGAGGGGGCAGGCTGGGCTGAGGGACACTCCCCCCCACCCCCCCACACACACCCAGTGCACGAATTTCATGCACCGGGCCCCTAGTGGTTATATAAATGCAGTCAGACTTTTACATTTCAGGGGTTCACCAGAAGAACTTCTGATCTTTCCTAACCTTTGTCTTTTATTTGCTGCCTATTAGCATCTTGAATAGTGATAAATTAAAGAAATACAATGTCAAGCAATAAAGTGTTACTTTTATACAGCTCTGAAGTGAGGCTGACAAGTTGTCAGGATTCCATGAATTTTCACCATCCATGCAGTTGGCAGACATTCACTGCCTGTCTGCTACGTGGCACATGTGAAAAGTGGTAACATATGTTAGGATTCACAGGCTGACAGAGAAGTAGACAGGTAGTTACAGCACCGTCTGGCAATGCTGCAGTGAGCTTGGTGGGCAATGATCCACATGTTCAGGTGTCTCAAGTAACTTAGAGTTTTCTAATGTCAGGCATTTTTGTACAACTTTGTTCTTAAGAAGTGAGATCATGTTTTACATTTTATTTATTACCTGAGTGCTATGCATGTTCTAGGCATTTAATAACTTCCCGTTAATTTGTTTTGATTCATTGCTAGTTTTCAGGTACCTGTGAAAAATCAGAAACAGATATAAAATGAGATCTATGTCCAGAAGTTATTTTCTTGTGGAAACCATAAAATCAGGTCCCTGATCCCCCCAACCTCAGCCTGATGTCAGACTCACTAAGACCCCTGCACTGCCCGTCTGCAAGTGTAGCCCCAGCGTCAGTGTCTCCACCCCGCCCTGCAGCTGCCCGGGTCCTCAGTTGCTTGTCAGTGTCTCTAACTTTCTTCTTGCCCAGTTCCGTTCTTATACCCTTCTTCAAGGTCTTAGGGGTTTATCTGTTTGCTGTTTTTTATCAAGTACTTGGTACTAAATTGACATTTTTATACATGTAAAGATGTACAAATTACATCTGTATGACAGTTAAATAAATGATTGAGCTATATCTTTAAGTCACCATGATCAGAGAGGGAGAAATTGTTCAGTTGCCTTCAGCACATGTCCCTACTAGCTGTTTACTGTCCCCCTGAGGCAGCTCTGGAATCAGAGGGGTTTATAATGAGCCTGCTTAATTAGTCACCCACCAGTGGTCCCTGCTGGCTCCAGCAGGGAGGCTGAGGCTCTGCTCACACCAGGTCCTCCCTGAAGTGCTTGGCACAGAGAAAGTGCAGAATAAGCATCTGTAAATGAATTATCCCTTCACTTGCTAAAATATGGCTCCTTTGATAATTTATTGAATGCTAGTTCTGTCTCTATATCATTTTATTGAAAACATTACAGTTTTGCCCTGTGAATTTTGGATTTCTGTGATAGCCTGTGATATTGGATTCTATTTATATTAAGTAGTTTAACTGTCTATTTTTTCCTGTACTTTATAGATCATCTCTGGGTGTTATTTCCAGATGTCTGTATGGTGATTGCATCAGAAATTGCTGTGGATATTGTAAAACATGCCTTTATCACTAAGTTCAACGACATTACTGCAGATGTATGTATTTTCGTAAGCAATTTAGTGTTTGAAGTTCACTTCTACTTAATAATATACAGTTGTAAAAGAACAAGTTTAGGTTTATTGCATTTATGAAGATACTAGAAGCGTACTGCTACTATAAAGTTAGAATTATATTTTTAAGTTTCTAAAAATTATTACACAACTGAAAGTATAGTATTTCAGTATTAAATACTTCTGGTTCCACACTTTTGGGTGGAGGTGTGGATTGACTAGTAGTTGAGATCAAAATCATCATAAACTGTTAATCTGTCATTACCTGTTTACTTACTCTTTTTAAAATAACATTGTTTTTATTAAAACAGGCTTTCAAAACTCAATTTAATATCTTACTCAGCATCTATTTTCTAAGAAGGCATCATTATTATTAGAGATAGAGTAATAATAATTTTTAAACTGTTTATTTAAAATTTCCAAATTATATATGTTATACTACTTAAAATAGCCACTATTCCCAAAACTCTAAACTCTCAGGACTCTAATCATTGAGTATTTATCTCTCCTTTTTAAAAATTTAATTCTCACCCAAGGATATGTTTTCTTCATTGATTTTAGAGAGAGAAGAAGGGACTGAGAGAGAGAGAGAAATATCAATATGAGAGAGAAACATTGGTCGGTTGCCTCCTGCATACGCCCCGACCAGGCATTGAACCTGCAACCTTTTGTTGTATAGGATGACACTTCAACCAACTGAGCCACCCATCCCAGGGCTAGTATTTATCTCTCTTTCAAGAGAAACCTTTAAAAGGTTTGTGAACATAACAGTTGGGGGACTTGAAGCTGTTTACTCTTGTTGTAGGAAAACAAATAGAGAAACACTACCCAGGTGTCGGCTCGGCTATTAAGACCTTTTTACTGGTGAATTATTAAACATATTGATCTGCAAAGTATAAGTCTTCCCACATTAGATATTTGCACTATATTACTTAATATTGCATTCTTATTTGTTTTTAGGTCTACAGTGAATATAGAGCCAGCCTTGCTTTTGACCTTGTTAGTAGTCGACAGAAAAATGTGAGTATTATATCAAAGACAGAATCTGAAATTAACTGACGGAGGTTTAATTTAGCTCCAAATATTGGTTAAGGGAAAGCTACATCAACTTAAACTTCTTACTTATTCCTGTTCTTGACAATAAATTTTTACAAATTAATAAAAATAATACTAATACTTAACATAAATAGGGTATGATTTTTGCAGCTTTGTAATAGTTATACAACTTTGTATTTAAAACTTCTTATGAACATTTAAATTTCCACATCATTTTGCTAACTTACATAATAGGTGCCAGGTGCCTTCTTCCTCGTAACCTCACCTGTTTAGAAAATGTGCTGGTGATGAGTGAATGGTACTTTATACATGTGCTTTAAGTCCATGAACCCTTCTCCCCTCTCTGTCTAGGCGTACACTGATTACAGCGACTCCGTGGCACGGAGGATGGGGTTCATTCCTCTCCCACTAGCTGTTTTAGTAAGTCTGTACTTTCTTACTTTTTTAAATAATGCAATGACTGTCATTATAGAATATTAATCAGTGGATTATCAATAACTTTGTTTCAAAAGGATGATATAAAAATTAAAGGTAAATGACCTGGAGGAAATTTTTTGTTATCCTTTTGACATTTGAGTCATCCAATAGATAAGTGATATCAGGAACTGTTTTTACATAATGGCTTTTCTAACAATGAGAAACTCTGCTTATTCATTTGGCAAAGTTTTTTTTTTATGGAAATACCTGGTGGTAGGCGTGGGTGTGGCAAGTATTACATATGTTGGTTGAAGTGTAAGTTGGTCTAGCACCTCTAAAGGGGCAGTTTGACAGTTTAATGGGGTAATTTCAGTTCTAGGAATTCATTCTAAGGAAATAGCTGTAAAAGGCATATAATGACTTATAGGCAAAGTTACACATTATAGTGGCATTTATAGCAAAAACTTGGAAACAAATGAAGTAGATTAAATTATGAAATGTTTAAATGGAGAAATATTCTGTATTCATTTTCCGAAGTTTTTACATTGACATTTTCTAGTCTTATATTTAGGAATTATGTATATTTTAAATAATAGCACTGAAATTTACTAAACCCACTAAAAATGTCATCGAGTTTATATCTTAATGAATTGCTCAGCACAGCCTTGTGAATAGTTACTGGCCACGTCAGGCTCTAATAATGTTCGTTAACGTTTGCTGGCTGCACTCGTACTTCATTATATTCCTTATTGGCTACCTGTTCTCACTTCAAAACAAAGGCAGCGAACTTTTTGCCAGAGTTCTCCTGGAGTTCTCGCTTAATGCAGAGTCACGGAGTCACCTAAGTGGTGGAGAGAGAAGCTGTAGGTCATACCAGCTGTATGTTAGACTAGCTTGTCCGGTTGATGATCAATAGAGTTCATGTTATTTAAATTTCAGTACAGCTCTCCAACTAACCACGTCCTAAATGTTTTCAATTATCTTGGTAGTTTATTATATAGTAATATAGCTTTCTTTTACTTGGGAAAATGAACTCCTAGAATTTTGGAAAAATGGAGGATTTTAAAGAGTAAAATAATTATTTGTTAAACGTTTAAAAGATTGATAAGATAGAATATTGAATTTCTCTACATTTGTCTTCTACAACTAGAAACATGATACATACAGTGTGAGGATAAATCTAGTTAGCCAGACTGATTATTATCTAAAAAGATTGGTTAGATGATTGTATTTGAATATGGCCCTGCTTTGCTAAATAATAACTATCTAGTAACTTATCTGCCAGAAAGCTCTATTCATGATTAGTATGGGGTTTTTAATTTGGTATTTAAAGATTTTTTTTCTTTAAATGAGTTTTTATGGTTGTTATACCAAAAGATGTAAGCTTATTGAATAGTTAACCCTGCGCTTTCGCAGTGGGTTGTGCAGTGGTCCAGTGGCCGGGGTTTGCAGGCTTCTCTCGCAGACCTCCAGCAGACGCTTCCGACTCTGAGGAACCTACCGAGGCCTTGGGATCAGTTCTTTAAGGCCCAAGAGAGGCAATGCTTCTTCTTATAAACTTATTACCTTAAGTCCTCAAGTGAATTCAAACCCCAAAAAAGTAAAAGAAATCATGTGTGAAGGTCTCATGGAAATGAGGCTTTGGATGAATGTGTCTTAAAATTGCCTGATAATATACTAAATAAAAATGAAGTCCTTTAATCCTTGAATGTGATCATTGGCAAACCTTTCTTATCTATACTAATAAAAGGGTAATATGCTAATTAGACCGGGCATCTTCCGGACTAAACCTGGTGGCAGGGGCCAAGGCAGAGGCAGTTAGGGGTGATCAGGCTGGCAGGGGAGAGCAGTTAGGGGCAGTCAGGCAGGCATGCATAGTGGTTAGAGGCGATCAGGCAGGCAGGCAGAGAGTTAGGGGTGATCAGGCAGGCAGGGGAGCAATTAGGGCAGTGGTTCTCAACCTTCCTAATGCCGTGACCTTTTAATATAGTTCCTCATGTTGTGGTGACCCCCAACCATAAAATTATTTTCGTTGCTACTTCGTAACTTTAATTTTATTACTGTTATGAATCGTAATGTAAATATCTGATATGCAGGATGTATTTTCATTGTTACAAATTGAACATAATTAAAGCATAGTGATTAATCACAAAAACAATATGTAATTATGTATGTGTTTTCCAATGGTCTTAGGCGACCCCTGTGAAAGGGTCATTCCCAAAGGGGTCGCGACCCACAGGTTGAGAACTGCTGAATTAGGGGCATCAGGCAGGCAGGCAGAGTGGTTAGGGGCGATCAGGCAGGCAGGCAGGTGAGTGGTTAGGAGCCAGCGGTCCCGGATTGTAAGAGGGACATCCCCCGAGGGGTTCCAGATAGGAGAAGGCGCAGGCCGGGCCCCTCAGCCCGAATTTCATGCACTGGGCCTCTAGTAAAATAATGAAATCCTAGAGCCACATTAGCTTCATCACAGCTATTTGGACAGCAGGTCATTCCTTATTAGAGGAAATGATGAGGACTTCAGTTTCTCATAACAAAAACTTTATAGAACATGTGACAATCCATCCCTCTGTGTCCTCCCAATTATTCTTTTACTGGCAGCATTTTAAAGATATGTTCAAAATTTATTTTATGATGTTTATTTAAGGCACCCTAATAAACTCTTTTAGATGATAACATTACTAGATAAGGTCTGTTGTTCTCCCTGACTTTCCATTTCCATGTAGTAGTCCCCCAGACCCTGATACAGTCTCCCCACTATCTTAACGTAGAGCGTTTCTATGAAACCTCTCATATGCCTAAATAGCGTAAACCAAAGAAGCAGGGGACATTAATTTATGTGTTTATTTTGTTCACCATGATGATCAAAATGCTTAATTATGTACACTTCTACACTTAATGTAAACCCCCTTCTGAGCTCTACTGCTACTAAGGACACATCTTGCTAACGGATACACAAAAAATGAAGATAAAGCCCAGATGTTCCCAGACACAGGGCTCAGCTGTGGTGGCCTGATGCCGAGATGCTGATGTAGTTCCCTGGAAGGGAGCTTGGCGGCCACTCTTGCTGCTCAGGGTGTGAACTGTGTCTATGTCAGCTCCCTGCAAATCAAATGCTTTTTATAGTAAAAGCAAAAATTACCTTTGGATTTCTTTTGGTGAGTGAAAACAAGTACCAACGTGGTCTTTTGTAAAAGCAAAGTGGTGTAAAGTGGTCTTTTGAAAAGCGGAGAATGCCTGTATATGGGCACATTTTTCCGCCAAAGCTATTATAGCTGAGTGGTTTTGCAGTGACAGATCCCACCACATTTGCTCATCGGGCTTCCCAGGATCAAGATTTTACTGCTTTATTTCTGTGAGATAAAAAAGAAAATGGGTGTTTAACCACAGCTATCCAAAAGAGACAGAAATTTTTCAATCTTTACATAATTGATTTTGCAATAGCTTTTAGTTCTTTTAAGGTTCCCTTTTCTCTATGATCCCTGAGAGCCATTGAGGATTCTTAAAAAGAGTCAGAGGACAAAGGACAAAAAAAAGCAAGAAAAATGGAAATGCCCACTCAATGGATCTAGCTGTGGCAGGGACACAAACAGCATGATGAATCCATTTGTATTTTCCAGAATAATTTTTCATGTTAAAAATCACTGCATTTGCTTCTCTATTAGGGCCAGGCAGATGTGTCATTTATGAACTAGGCACAATGTCTGAATGGTTGGCATTAGCTATGGGCATCCTAGATTTGCCTGAACCACCCAAATCTACCACAAAAGGTTTTACAAGTTGTCACAGTTTGTTAGGAATCGACAGATCTAGAACTGCCTGCTTGGATTTAGACAGGCTACAGGTGTGTGCCTAAAGTGTTAAAATCAGTATAGATGACTTTACTTAAATATGAACTAATAACTCTTTGGTTGTGTGTTTTGTTTGTGTGTTTGTTGTTTTGGTCTGTTTCTGGCTAGCTCATCAGAGTTGTAACAAGCTCAATTAAAGTTCAAGGAATCCTGTCTTATGCCTGTGTCATACTCTTCTATTTTGGGTAAGATAACTATTCTTGAATATGTTTTTGGTTATACAGTAAAGTATAAATGCAAGATGTAATCAAGTCAGACTACACCCATTCTAACTGTCCTGGGGCCCCATAATGACTTGTACCTCCAATATGTTTGTGACTTAGTTAAGCTCTGGTTCAATTAAATTGCTGCTATTTGCTAGTAGTATTAATAGCACTTTAGATTTTATTTTAACCTTTAGTGTAATCATTTACTTAAAGCTCTTTTTGCTTACAAGTTAAGTTTTACCCATATTTTATAAAATAAAATCTGCCATTGCATTCAAACATCTCTCTATGTACAAAAACCTCTTTGAATTTCTACTGTGTTTGCCATGTTAATGGTTTAGCATACTCGAGGCCTATGTCATAGAAACCTACAGAAGATGCAGAAATGTAGTTGCTCTGCCTGTTACTGGCTGAATTTTTATTTGCAAATTTGTTGGTCTTGCGTGGCTTACACTCTGGTTGGGGAAGAGAAATGATAAGAACATAACAATATAAAGATAAGTTTTTGTCTCCCTTAGTTTTCTCAAGAAGTCAATTTATGATAAATCAGCCGATCCCAGCTTTAGGTTTACTTACCCAGAAAGAAAAAGGGACCCTCCTGCACTGGCTTCAGTGGAGCGCGAAGAGTTATGCTGCGAGTGTCAGTCTGGGAGACAGTCAGAACTGAGTATCTCGAGGAGAAAAGGGAGAGAGACCAAGCAGGACAGTAGTAACCTCAGCCCTAGATTTGCTCAGAATCGTCCCCTGGGCTGAGGTCTGCTTCCCAGAGACATCTGTGTTGTCCTGGTTTCCCACATATGTCTCCTACCTTGTCCCTGCCTGGTGCCTGGCACATGGCAAGTGCCCGGAAGCTCCTGCCACAGGAGCACAGCATCTCTCACTTGTCATTGTCTCAGTAGCATCATGAGTCAGGAACATGCTTCCAGACTGTTCTCACTGAGCTGTGTGGCATCTCGCAGCCCTGCCCTCATAGGTCCTCTACTCAGCGCTCCTCGGTGAGCAGTGCTCGCGGCTGCTCCCAGTGCTGGTCTAGGGACCAACTGAAAAGAACACAGGACCTGCCTTTGTGTCCTAAGTTCCAGTGGGAAAGTAGGCAACCACCAGAAAGACAAATTGGTAGCAAGTGTCAGGAAGAAAAGCATGGTAGTGTCTGGACGGAGAGCCACAGAGGTGGCTGCCCTGGAGAGAGCAGGGGCTGTCTGTGCTGACGGATGGAGTAAGGGGAAGCCCATGCAGGCTCAGAGAGGGGACACAGGGCAGGCCTGATGCCAGGAGCACACGGGAGAGGACCCGGCAGCCCTGGCAGGGCCCAAGCCTCAGCTCTGCAGGAGGGAGAGCCCTGGAAGGTCCTGTGCAGAAGAAAGCACCACTTCCCTTGGCTTCTTGCCAGGACCACCCTGGCTGCTGGGCAGAGAGGGGACTGGAGTGTGGCGACAGGAGGAGCATAAGCCGGCTGGGTCAGGAGGTAACTGTTACTGTTCTTTCAGGGCCGGTGGCCGTAGGTGGAATTGAGTGGGAGGGTTTGTCAGGGGCATATTTTGCAAGTGGAGCTGGACAGGACTGGTGGAGGGATTGATGGGATGTGCGGTGTGAGGGGATGAAAAAGAATCAAATGTGAGTACAGAGTTTGGAGCCCAAGCAATTAGGGCTATGGAATTGCCACTTACTGTGACAGGGAAGCCTGTGACATATATATGTGGGGTTCATTTTGTTTTGTGTTTGGAGGGTTAGGGCTGGAATCAAGAGTTCTGGTTCGGATTTTGTAAGTTAGACGTCCCCCAGTCAGCTGGCCAAGGAGCTGTGAGGCCCGAGGTGGGAGCGTTGTCTCCTGGTGTAGAGTCCACAGGGGCCTGCTAAGCCCTGCCTCGCACTTGCCCCCCTGGCCTGTGACCTGTCGTTGCCACCTTTCATCTCAGACCTCAGAAACAGCACCCACTTTCTCACTCCCTACCCAGGGCAGTGAGGTCCTGGGCACTGGGCCATTTAGGGCCTCGTAAGTGAGGAGATTCCAATAGGAAGAGGGTTCTTTTTGTTTTGTTTTGTTTTGTTTTCAGATTTTTTGCCAGATTTGTGTCAGGTACCTGAAAATGTTACGTACCTTTGGTCTAGAAATCCGACTTCTGTAATTATAGCTGTCTAGGAACTTATTTTGAGGAAATACAGATTTAATGTAAGTGTTCTTAATCAGAAACTTTTTAATAGAAGAAAAATACTTAAAATAATCTAAATATCCAGAAACTAGGGGCTTTGAAGGGGCTTTGTTATATCATAACCCATACAGCACAATAATTAGGTCCGTTAAAATACTAGTAGTGCCCCTGAAGAACATGAACTGATAGGGGAAAATATTTATCATATGCTATTTATGTGAAACAACAATGATGATAATGAAATAACAAGATTGGTTGACGTTTCTATGTGCCTGGCGCTGCTCTGAGCACCTCATCAAAGGCATCTCCTCTGTGGACTGACAGGTTAGCAACGCAGGTCCACACAGCTTCTAGGCCACTGGTTCTCAACCTTCTGGCCCTTTAAATACAGTTCCTCATGTTGTGACCCAACCATAAAATTATTTTCGTTGCTACTTCATAACTGTAATGTTGCTACTGTGATAAATCGTAATGTAAATATCTGATATGCAGGATGGTCTTAGGTGACCCCTGTGAAAAGGTCATTCGACCGCCAAAGGGGTCGCGACCCACAGGTTGAGAACCGCTGGAGCAGTGGAGTCAGGTGTGAACTCAAACTCTTGGGCCCCAGGTCTGTGCTCTGACTCCAAACTCCAGCTCCTCCTGCTTCGTAGCCCCATTCCAAACAGCGGAAAAGTTCAAATAGATGTGTGCGCACAGCAGCATGGTGAATGGGATGCAGCAGGTGTCCCAGGGATCATCGCTAGAGTGTGGAGCTATACATTATTTTATATATGTTTTTTGTTCATCTGTAGCTACTAAATGTATTTGTTCTGTAGTAAGAGAAAAAATTAAATAATTTGGAAGGTGAAACTTCTAAGTGATATAGGAAGAAAATAAATGTTAAATATCAGAAGGTATAACTTTTAAATGATATGACTTCTTACATGAGAAGTAGGCATTATCCCAGATTCCTCCGTGATAGGGAAACCTGTGCGTGGCATTAGGCCCTCGGTGTGGGATGTCTCAGACTCGGGCCTCTGACTCCCGGGTCCTCTGTTCACCTGGTGATGGGTGGCACTCCCCGCGATTGAGATGAGTTCCAACAGTGGTCGCTTGTCTCTTTCTGCGTTTAGGTTGATATCCCTGAAAGTACTGAATAGCATTGTGCTGCTGGGAAAATCATGCCAATATGTGAAGGAGGCCAAAATGGAAGAGAAGCTGTTTGACCCTCCCCCCTCCAGCACTCCCTGCAAGCCGTCCAGTAAACCACAGAGCAAGTGCAAACCCTCCCAAGGTAGGCGGGGTCTTCTCATCGCTTCTCTGCATCATCTTCCGGAGAGTTACTGTCTTCTCTCTCCCCGTAACAAATCACTGCCCTCCAACGTTCAGCAGTGCTTTCAGGGTTTGACTTCATTTTATTAGTTGTTATTGCTAATGTTTCTGTTTAGGCCTCATCACAGATCACCCCATGCAGTGCTCTGAGTTTTTACATTCAGTGGATCTTCAGTGAGCACCTGTTGACGCGGGTTAACTAACAGTAATGGCGTGGCTTCTGCGTTCCATTATACATTACTAGTGCCTGGTGTGCAGATTCATGCACATTGAAAGAAAATTAATTAGAAGGTGGCCAGCGGGGCAGAACTGGGCAGGATGGGCCAGACACGCCCTGGAGCCAACCTCCCACAGTCCCTCCTGGGTGTCTGCAGAGTGAGGGGTCCCTCCGGCAGGTGGGGTCCCTTGGCCTGGCCTGCGGGATCGGGCCAAAACCGGCTCTCTGACATCCCCCGGGGGGTCCCGGAGTGTGAGAGGGCACTCGGCAAAGTTGCTGTCATACAAGGTGTGGAACGCAAACACAAGTGTGTAGTAAACCAGATTCGGGCTGACAGTGCCCCAGCAACAACATAACCCACAGCCTAAGGTAGAATCATGCAGCCCCATGAGGAATTGGACTCCCTCCTCTCTGGTTTCGGGGTGCATCACCTGAGAACTTCCACTGCCAAGTCACTGCAGCTCGGCAGCTCCTGCATTGAGTGTCTGCCCACTGATGGTCAGTGCGTGTCATAGTGACCGGTGGACAGTGGGAGGGACACTTAGCATATTAGCCTTTTATATATATGTACACTAGAGGCCCAGTGCACAACATTCATGCACTGGGGGCTGTGGGGGGGGTCCCTCAGTCTGATCTGCACCCTCTCCAATCTGGGAGCCCTCAGGAGAGCCCTCTCCAATCAGGAGTTTCTGCCTGTCTTTGCAATCATATGAGTGAATTGTCTGAGACCCCAACTCAGTTTGGTTTGTTGCTCACAGAATAATAGAGGCATTTTTTTTCCCTTTGCTTCATTGGTGGAGATTTCCTGGAACTTTTAGGATATCTTCCCTTTAATTTTTCCTAGACACTCTGATTTTACTTATGTCTCTCACCTTTGCTTTCCCTCCATCCCCCACCACAAAGGTAACTTGTTCCAGGCTCACTTTGCTCTACTGTCTAGGAGATCCATCTGCCACCAGAACTACGATTCCCAGCATTTCTGGTGCTCCCCGCACTCTGGGCTTCCGCTTCCGGTCCTGGGGCTGCCACCAGAATTATTCCCAGAATTCCTGGTGCTACCTGCGCTCTTGGTTTTCCCTTCCTGCTCTGTCTCCGTCCCATGGCCTCCCACTCTGCCAAGACCTCCAAGCCACCAGCTTTCCCTCTCTGCTCTCCATCTGGCGGATTGGGGAACCAAGTTCCCCAAGCCGCTCCATTGCTCCGCCAGCTCTCCTGCTCTGCTCTCCACCCTGCGGCTTCGGGGGAGCAATTGAGGGAGCCAAGGCCCCCCAAGCTGCCAGCTCTTCCACTTTGCTCTCCACCCAGTGCCTGTGTATGCAAATTAACCTGCCATCTTTGGCAGGTTAATTTGCATACTCACTCCTGATTGGCTGGTGAGCATAGTGGAGGGATGGTCAATTTACAGGTTTCTCTTTTATTATATAGGCTAGATGGCTGCTTCTGCAATGTGCTGTTTGGTTATCATTACACTTTTTATTCAGTACCATGGTATTGGTAAGCTCATCTTTAGTATACGTTTGGAGGAAATCCTATTCTAACTAAAGGCCCTGTTTTTCCACAGAAGAAACCCTGTCTGCCTCTGTCACCAACCAGCCTAGCCATCAGAAGGAAAATGTCATACCGTTACTTGTGACAAGTAATTCTGACCAGTTCCTGACAACTCCAGACGGTGAAGAGAAGGACATAACGCAGGAAAACTCTGAACTGAAGCACAGGTCCTCAAAGAAAGATCTGTTGGACATAGACAGGTTCACAATTTGCGGAAACCGAATTGACTGAATTCTGTGGCTTCCTGTGCCAAGCGCCGAGGCCTGGGGCAGCCACAGTGCTGCCAGGGTGGACAGATGCGAAACGTGGCACTTATATATTTATTTAAAACTTAAATTATTAACAGAAAGCAAATCTGAGTAGCTTTCTTCCAATAATGTGGCCTGGCTGAAGGTCAGGTCATGGAACAGCAGTGACCTCCAGCCTGGATGGCGTGGGGAGCCCCTCTTCCCCCGAGAAGCAGCAGTCACTCTGGCCCGATGGGAACAACCTCGAATCACTTCAGCTTGGTCCGTCTGTGCTTCCAGAACATCGGCTTTGGCCGCCGGCCTCTGCAGTGTAAGGGGATCTACCTGGGAAACGGAAGCTTTCCCCACAACGTTACCTGCCCTGTCCCATACTAGTTCCACAGACAGTTTCAAACTGCTTCATCTGCCAAAGCATTTAAAGAAGTAATTACACTTAAGTCAAGATAAATATTCTCACCACAGAATAATCCTGGAAGATGTATCTGAATTAATCAGAATAAAAGGCTACCTTAAATAAGACATGATGAATAGTAGCATTTTATAGGGGAAAACAAGCCCGAAGCCATTTTGTCTATTTAAAAAATATTAATTAATGAAGGTTATGCATCACTGAGAATATGTTTATAATTTTTCAGTTTACTCGTTAAAGCAAAATGTGAGCCGTGTATTGTTTAATTGCAGTGGGTGAAATAGAAATTACCTTACAAAGACGTACTTTTTATACTGAAAAAAGCAGAGCAGGGTTAACTTTAATGTACAGATAACTGATTACACTTTAAAACTAATTGCTTTATCAATTGTTACAGTTAAAAGGATTTGGTGTTGAATCGGCTACAGAATTGTACTCAATTCAAAGGTGTCAACCTGTAACTGAGATTTTTAAGTGACAATTTTAAAGTAAATAAGTGGATTGAGCAGTCGTCTTGCTCAGGCTTATAAAGTGCATTAGCCTTTCTGTCTGGAGTGCCTGTGCCTGTGCCTGGGGCTGGCCTGTGTCCTATGGGAGCGTCTGTGTGGGGATGGCACTACCTGGTGTGCCTGCGCTAGGGGAGGAAGCCAGTGAGGGGTGTGGGTGGCTGACTGGGAGTGGGGACGAGTTTGTGTGTAGATGTTGGGAACAGCAACCAAAAGGTGCTTTTTGGTTGGTCGAGGTCAAGATTCCATGTCTGCTTGCTTATTAGTTTGTGGCCTGCCTCATAAGACAAGCTGTTTCCCACTACATTTTAGCTTGAGAACCCTTCCTGCATCTTTATAAAAATTCTGCAGCCTCCAATTTCAGAGTGTCCAGGTGTCACTGTTCTTTCCTTTGACCTTTTCATTCTGAAGTTCGGCTCCTGTGCTGCTATTTCAGGCACATGATGTGCAGAGGTAAATTTTAGGGGATTTGTTTCCTGGGTGAAACGTAAAGCTAGCTTGAATTCTTTGGCTTTTCATGTGACATACAAGTGAATTTTAATGTTTTGCATTAAGTGAAGAAATCTGAAGGTTAATGCTCACATGGGATAAAAGGAAACTGTACAGAAATGCTTTTGTGAGACCGCGAAGTACTTCGCGTTAAAAATGAAAAGACTTCTAAGTTGCTTTGTGTGTGTTTCAATGAAGCACCATTTTAGAATTACTTTTTGTTCTCATCTTCTCTTTTCCACCAAAAAGAACAATGTCCACAATGAATAAGAATAGTTTTGGGGAAAACTTTGCCAAACAGAGCCCTAATCGGAGCAAGAATACGGCAGGGGTGTATCTTTCACTTCAGCTCGAATTATTCTGTGACTGTGCTGTCAATTCCATAAGATTTTAATTTCCTTTGCAGGATATATTGGGAGTTCGGAATGATGTTCATTTCTTCTGTCAAAATGGCATTCAGTACTAATTTTATAAGTGCATCTTGTGTGAAACTCAATAAATTCAATTTTGTAATCTTTTTTAAAAAGGTCACTGAATTTATTTTCATGATGTTTACTGTTATATTTGGTAGAGTGAATTTCCCATCCTGTAAGAATTTATTTCTAATTTATAAGTGGCAGGACTAATTTGAATTATTCTTTTGTCATAATGGTGGCAAAATGTTTGAATCTTGTCTTTAGGAAACAAAAGGCTGAGTATTGATCATAGACCGTTTAATATCTGTCTGTATATGAAGGGACCTGCATTTTACAAGTGTTTGGAATGTCACACAATATGCTTTTCACATCTGGGAGTTAAGACAGGATTTTGGGCCAGTCAATGTTGCGCAGTGGTTGAGCGTCAACCTATGAACCAGGAAGTCATGGTTCAATTCCCAAGGCACATGCCTGGGTTTCCACCTCAATCCCCAGTAGGGGGCGTGCAGGAGGCAGCTGATCAATGATCATTTCTCATCATTGATGTTTCTATCTCTCCCTCACCCTTCCTCTCTGAACTCAATAAAAACATATATATTTTTAAAAAGACAGTACTTTGGTTTTAAAAATAATCTCAGCCACAACATAAGGTCAGACTCTTACTAGCTTTCCTTTGGAGTTGAAATGTAACACAGGGTCATTCAGGAGCTTGTGCAGATCTTCTTGGTACTTGGTACTTTTGTATTTTGTCTAGCATGTGGATGTTATATTCTTTACACATGGTAGAACCTTTTTATCATTAGATCCTCAAAAATATTCCTTCTGCTCTCGGTGACTCAGCAGAGCACACACATCACAAAATAATTTAAAACCACTGCATTGTGAAATGTCTGAGCTTTATTTTTTCTTTCAGTGGAGATTTATTGAATGCCCGTGTGTCAGGACTATTGGATGCTGCAATCAGCAGTGGACAAAGTCCCTGTCCTCCTGGGGGAGGCCCATAGCAAACTCGTCAGCAAACTAGTGTGCTGGAGACAGCTAAGCCCAGGTGGTCTCCACTTGGTTTCATTCTGAAATAAATCCAGTTGTTTAACATTTTTATGTAAGTTAAGTCTTATTATTTTTCCTGTTGAATTTGCTTAAAAAAGATAATTGAGTAGCAGTTTCAAGTGCCTCTATAAAGTACAAAGAAATAAGAAAATTCTCCTTTACTAAAGACCCTGGTTGTCCATACAGACAGAGTGCTAGCTGGGCACCGAGCTGTCCAGTTGGGGACTGCTTTCCTGAGTCCATCCTGCTATTCCACGTGGCCAAGGGACAAATCCTCACCGAGGGATGGAATTTGCAGGGGGGTATGCCATTTCAGGTCCCTTCCACCTTCTCTCTGCTTCCCACCAGCGGGTACCCAGCGGTGTGCCCTCAGCAGCCATGCAGACAAATGCGTGGCGCTCTCAGCACCCAGGGAAGGAACCTGGGTCCACGGAGGCCTCTGCAGAGCCTTCCACACAGCGCTGCCTACAGCGAGAGAGCAGCGCATGCCTTCGCTTCCAAGCCATGGAGTGTGGAGGGGCTATCACAGCCCACGTCCGTATGCCAGGGACTCTGAACGGGCCCAGTGAGAGAGCTTCACGTAGAAGGAGTGCGGGTTAGGCCTGACTCTCTAAAACCTGTGCTTCTGAAATACTCTTGGATTCACGTTTACTATTGTTTTTAGGGGAAAAGATAAAGATTACTATGTGGTCAGCCTCCCGGCACCCTGGTCCGTCTTGAGCTGAACATTGAGCATGCTCATCAGTGGCACAGTCCTCTTTGGTCAGATGCTCTACCAGACAGCCCTGCCTTGCCCCTTCTTCCTCAGGAAAGTGGGGTGCACAGTCACAGAGCAGGTGAGTATAGCCCGCCAGCACAGAGACCTGGAGGCAGAAGGACTTCATATGTCCGAAGAGCAGCGCTGGACTTCCTCCACTCAGGTACGTGTCTGAGTGCCTGGCAAGTGCCAACCCACATGCTGAGAACATGTGAGAGGATAGCTTTGTTCTAGGGAAACCAGAGGAGGAGGCGGGGGCTGGGTCTTGGAGAGCTTTTAATGCCTTACCAAGAATCCTGGGCTCGATCCCATAGGCAATGGGGGAGCATAAGTGGAATCTGAAGTTGGATTGCGGTAACTACCAAATGAGAGGATAAATGGAAAAAACGACTGTAAACTATAAAGTGTTACATAACTTGTTCAAGATCACACAGGAGCACCCATCAGAGCAGAAGTGAAACCCCATCCATTCCTCTGTGCTGTATGCTGCTTGTGAGAAGAGGGGGAAGTACAGGCCCCCTAAGGAGGCAACTGCCGTAATTCATGCCAGACTAATAGGATTTGGGATGTAGGGGACAGTGACCTTGTGGATAGCAAATGTGTAGGATGTTCACCCCTCCAGGAAGTACAGGAGAGGGCCAGCTGGTGTTGGAGCCAGGACTTGCTCTGTGTGACACAGCAAACCTCAGTCTGCTCATCTGTAAATTGGGCCTAATACCCACTTCTCAGGGTTTGGGGAGGAGCAAGAGAATGCATGGGAAACTTGGGTTACGAATGCCACAGAACTGTACGAATCCACATTGTGTTGACCATCATTGCCTGAAGCCTCAGAGCTTAGTTCAGTGGTCCTCAAAGTGTGGTCCCTGGGCCAGCAGCAGCCCAACATCTGGAACACGTTACACATGCAGGTTCTTGGTCCCACCCAGACCTGCTGAGTCAGAAACTGGGAGGCGGCCCAACCACCTGTGTTTACGGCCCTCCAGGAGATTCGCACGCATGTTCAAGTTTGAGAACCGCTGGCCCCGATCTGGACCTGAGAATTAGGGGGCCAAAAGCAGCTCCATCTGCTTCTCACAGGAAAGATTGGAGAGACGAAAATAGAATCTGGGGCCAAATTCTGTTTCTGACTAATGTTTGCTCAAGGCCAGGTAACTGGACAGAACCAGGGGTTCCAGATGTCCTCAAACGCCAGCGCTCTGCCCACCATACCCTCAAGGCTCCACCCCTCCCACAGCTGTGGAACCTTCCAGACTAGCCATGCAGAGCCCACAGAGCACTGGGTCCAGGCACCACATGATGCTCCAGAGCTCTGATCACCAAGCCAAGATGAGAACGGAGGAAAGGACACAGTCCACCAGGTGGAGCAGGTGAGCGCCAGCACCCTTTGTGAGAATTCCTTTGGCTCGCAGAGTGTGACGTCTGCCCTAGGATCCTGAGATGGAGCACACAAGGCAGGCAGGGTTCTTCTCTTCAGAAGCATATACTACAGCGGAGAAGCCAGAGAATACACGTGGGAGCAGCTGAGGTTTGAGGAGGTTGATGGGTGCTGTGGAGAGAACAAGGCAATATGATAATAGGGACATGATGCTTTCCTGACCCTGGCCGGTCAGGGAGGCCTCTAAGAGGTGATGCTTTCCTGGCCAGTGTGGCTCAGTGGTTGAGTGTTGACCTATGAACCAGGAAGTCACAGTTCGATAACCGGCCAGGGAACATGCCCGGGTTGCAGGCTCGATCCACAGTGTAGTGTGCACAGGAGGCAGCTGATCAATGATTCTCATCATTGATGTTTCTATCTCCCTCTCTGAAATCAATAAAAATATATTTTAAAGAGAAAGAAAAAAAAAGTGATAGATACGTGAGCTGCGAAGGAGCCTCATTCAGGCAGAGACCAGCAGTTCAAGCTGCTGGGAGAGAGTGAGCAGGTGTTTTCCAGCAGCTGCTGGGTGAGTATCTGATCGTAATCAGTGCTCATCCTGACATAAACTAGTCTCCCTCTCCGCCTCCCACTGTGCTGGATCCTGGGACAGGTCAGTGTCCTGACCTGGTCAAACAAGTCAAGTGATTTTGTGCACCTCGTAGCATCCACGTACTAGTACCCGGGACTGCCCCCAACCCTTTACCTTATTCCTCGGCTCTGGCCAAGAGGTGCATACACCCATTTCATACTGCAGCTGCCCAAAGTGTGCCTTGTACATAAGTTTCCCTAATAAACTCGGTCAATTACAAGAATGGAGTGCCCAGCCTCTTTCTCCCATCTTTTCCTGCCCTCTGCTTTTGGAGGTAGAGTTTCAGGCCAGGGGTCTTCTCTTGGGTCTGTGTGTACTAACAGATTTCAACATATACGTTGGGGGAGGGGGGAGAGGAGAGGCACACACATTCGGCCCATAGCAGAGAGTTACCCTCGGTCAGGTGTTCCCAGGCCCAGCTTCCAGCAGCCTTTCCTCCCAGAGTGCATTTCTCCACCCACAGGCCGACCCACCGCAGGGCTGTTCACCTGGCTTGGCGCTGCTTCTCCAGCTGTGCTCATGTTGAGACTGTGTCCCTGCGATTTTCTCTCCTGGAGGACACATTTTCCTGGTGTCTTTTCACGCACAGTCATTGCAAATGCTCCACCAAGTTCTGCTGACACTTGTCCTCTGGATATTTCCCCCGATGACTTTGAACTTGAGTCATTGTCCAGAGGCCAAGGCATGGAGAGCATCGGACATATTGGGTGCTGCCCGGGGGATACAGCACTCAGCATCCTCTCCCCTTCATCGTCGGGGCCCCAACAGGCTGAGGACAGAGCAGTCGGGCACAAAATGATCCCCATTCTGTCTAGACTGGACACAAGACCCCCTAAGAGGAGGGCTGGGCTCAGTCTCCTTTTGTTCAGAAGTGAAGCACCTCTGTCCTCACCGGTGGCCTTCGCCGTCCACTGAAGGAGCACCCCACCGCGTCTTCGATGGTGCCCCATCCTGATATCGCAGTGAAATCCGGCTCCTGTCCCTTTGAGGTGTCAGCTTCCTTGTCATGAAGGTGATGGTCGGTGAGGATGGACACAGAAGGGATCCCATTCCCATGATGCCTTTGCGACTCTGCCCGTAAAGGGGAGATTATCTAACACATTTTGTGGACACTGCAGAGATGTGTACCCCTGAACAAAGGAATCTTACTTATTATCTTCCATTCATAAACTCAAAAAACGAAGCAGGAAGACAACCCTCTCTTCCCTCCCCCCCAAAAAAAATCACTGCACTGTGTTGCTTATGAACATGGCCTCTGAGACTCGCCGCGGTATTTTCTGGAATGATGCTGTACTAG